GCTGTTACCAACCTGCCCTGCACACCCTTGTCAGCGAGGACACTGCCCCCACCTGTGCGGTAGTCACCCTCAGCTCCTGGTTTGTTATTCCTTGTGGAGCAGTTCTGGCCTTGCTGCTCCTTAACAATAAGAATCACATGCGGAAGCCATGAACAAGCAGAGATACTAATGAGGATGAGAGAGGATTTACTAAGCAATGCCAAAACAGCAGCTGTTGCTCAGTGGCAGGGGCAACTGGATCGGGGGCAGCTCTGCTGAAAAGGACCAGGGGATCCCAGTGGATAGCAAGCCAAACATGAGTCAGCAGCGTGTCCCCCTGCATCACTTGAAGGCATATGATGACCTGCACTAAATCAGTAAGAGAACAACCATCAAATCAAGGGATGTTGTTATGCCACGTTACCTGGCACTTGTTAGGCAACACCAGCAACACAGAGTTCAGTTTTAGTCTCTCCAATTCAAGACAGATATTGAAATAAAATGGAGAGGATCTAAGAGGTTTTGTGTGTTGTGTGTGCACACACATGTTTGTGTCCACCAAGATAGTTAAGAGGACTGGAGAACTTGACATAAAAATGGTTGAAAGAAGGGTTCTTCCACCCCAGAGAAGGCTCAAGGTGGATATCATCTCCAACTTCTCATACTGAAAAAGTAGTTGTAGAGGTAATAGAGGTATGCCCTTCAAAAGGAAGCATGGTGACAGGTTGCAGGCATAAGCTGCTTCAGAGGAAATTCCACTTAAAGGAAACAAACAAAAACCCCAACATTCACTGTAGGAAGAAAATGCCAGAATAGGTGGCCCAGAAATGGTGAAACATCCCTTGAGGGAAATATTCAAGACTTGACTTGATGGGATAGCCCAACTTATGTCCCTGCTTCCAACAGAAGGCTGGATCAGATGATCTCCAGAGTCCCCTTCTAAACAAACTAGGCTATTCTGCGATGCTCTGACTTAGCAAGATACATACTTACCAGACAGATCTTGTTCTAGTAGTTAAAAAAATCACAAAAGCCTCAAGCTGAATTCTGGTGAATCCAGTCAGACCTCACAGTACACTTTATCAAGGTAATCATTATTTAAGCAGCTCCCTTTGTCTAAGAATTATGCACAAAAGGTGGCAGGATCTTCTGTCACATAAGCACCTGAGCTGACAAGTGAAGGTACACTTGTTCTGTATTCTGATAGAAGTAACACAATATGATTTTGGCAGAGAATTCTACTAAAAATTTGTATTACTTTGCCAGTATAACCCTTTTAAAATCATCGGGGTAATGTGCAAGCCACATACTTAAAATCATAAAGCATCTTAACAGCTTAGGATTCTTTTTCAGAGAAAGAAAACTGGGAAGTTTGCTCTGAACTGCTCCAGTGTCCTGACAATCTGTCCTGCAAAAAGCACAAAAGTACGATGACTGCCTGGTAAGCACATTCCTGTTCTTTACACAGGCCTATTGCAATTCTACACTTCGACCCCTCAGAAATAAACTACTTGGACTTGTGCTTTAAAGGCCACTTGTCATTACATATGACACTTCATATTTTATTTTAAGCTCTGTCCCTGTTACAGCAGCGTATCATTCTTGGTGCGTGTGTTAAAGCATTTTTTCCAGCGTCTCTTGTGGGGACTGGGAAACAATAGCACTACCATTGTTCTGGATCACATCTTGCTTCAAAATCAATACTAGGTCATACACTGACTCTTGAAAGACAAATCTGCCAACCAGATGGTACAACAGTGAACACATCTGTAGCCAGAAATCAGTGGTGCTTCTTATTTGTTTTCAGTATTCTTATACAGACTCCTGTACTAGTCTGAGTCTCAGGGGGAGGAATAAATCAAAAAATACCAAGATGATAACAGAAGCTCCTTCAGAGCACCTGAAGAAGTCCACCTTCTTGCAATATACGCTGCAACATTATTACAGTACCTAGGAACCCTAAAAACTGATCAGAATTTTCATGGAGGTAAACAATGTTCACTTTTTCTATGTGGAAACAATCCCAGACACATAGGGTCATCCATGTTATTAGCTGTCAACCACAAACCTGAATTTGGTCACAGCTTTAGGCACAGAGTACTTAAGCAAACTCCACAGTTATCTGCATATAGACACTGCTGGCCAGAATAGTGGTGGGAACTAGAAGTTCAGCATCCTTTTCATCAGCTGCAGATGGACCTTGACCAGATTATTCACTGATCCCCATGTGCACTCTTAAAATCAGAAAAATGACACTAACTTCCTCTGAAGTGCTTGCATCAGTTTTGCAATGCAACGATCCCCCACTCTGCTTCCTTCTCCTTGGTAAAATACTCATCTTTTACCAGCTGTTCACTTCCCTCCCCACCATCAGCAAAAACTCTAAGTTTACTCCTATTTAAAACAGTTTTCATACCTTTGAGTCAAACCTGGTTATAGACAGCAGTATTGAAGTTTGTCAATCGCCAAGTAAACTACAATTCACACACCTACCTCTATTAACAGCCTTCCATTCTGTGATTCTACTGAAGTTTTCCTTACTTAGGAAAACTCGCTACTCATACAGTCATACATTAGAAAACATTCTTTCATTTAAGTTCCCACATCACTAGGAAGTGACTGAAGACTTCATTACTTCTATGCCATTTAGTTTTACATTGCCAGTCTTGCCCTTGAGATTATTTTCTTTTAACCCACAAATATCTGCTTCCTTGGTGATTTGTAATATTCACTAGTACAGCTATCCTGACAACTCTGAAACAGGTCATTCTAGACTAGTTCTACCATTCATTATTGATTTTCTAATTAAACTTAACATTCCTTAGATCCTAATTTTTTGGATGTTTCTCAAAGTCACATAATCTCCTTGGCTACACAAGGCCCTTTGAAAAGTTACCGTAGTTTCTCTAAGCATCTGTACAATACTGTAAAGGCACACTCCTTTATGTCTTACATTCTACAGTGAACTGTAAAAGAAAAACATTGTAAGAATGATGTCACAGACCTTCCTGAGCCCCAAGGAATATGTTATTTCTAAATATTCCCTAATTTGTTCTCCAGTGTATAAGCTTACAAGGTCACTAGTACTCGGGTGCCATCCACCTTTGCCATGGTTCACAATCTGGTGGTGATATATTCTTTCCTGTTCTTGTGCTACAGTGTTAATCAAACCAGGAGTCTTGCTGCAGAGCTCTGCTGCAGTATTTTTTTTTTCCTAACACTGGTTCTGTGGGAGCAATGCTCAGATATCAAGCCATATGAAATTTTTAGAGCTTGTTTCCTTATTCTTCTTATTTAAAGAAGCCACAGTAGCATAAACACCAAACAACGCAGAAGTAGCCCTTGGATTCCTACTACCCATCTCAATAGTTCACTGTGAACCTTCTTCCACCTCACCATTTGTATTCTTTATGCAGACTTAAATAGTAAAAAAATAACCTCTCTCTGCCCCTACAACATACACAAATAAAATGCATTAAACCAAAAGATACGTTTATCAAAGACTTCCAAAAGAGAAATATCCAAGTTGCAAGAAATAAAATATATTTCCTAGACATTCTTAGGTTCTGATGACAGGCGTTTTTTTAAGAAAGTAGTGTTCAGAACAAGTTTCCTCATTGCAGTATACTGAAAGCTTTGACATTTAATATTAGCTTAAGGCTTCATAGCAAGCATGTTTCAAGCCCTCTTTACCCCTATGATGAGCATTTAATGTTTATGGCAATGCTGTCCTTCTAGTCCATGTGTAACATCTAAGAATAAATGTTGCTAAGGGGCTAAGGAGTTTCAACTGTGCATCTCAGTGACCAGAATCCTGAATTAATATACTGTTCACAGAGAATTTTACCTCATTAGTGAGATATTAAAAAAAAAAGGGCCAAGAAGAAACACATGCAAGCTAAAATAGTGGCATGCATTTTTGATAATGCATTAAATTATTTCCTTCCAAACCCTGGATTCCCAGGGCCTGGATTTTTGAAGTCATGGCCAGGTAGTCTTGGGGCAAGCAGAGCCCTGAAAATTAAAGGACAATGAAAGACATCTTCATTCAAAGGCCGTTTTGAGAAACCAACTGCATTTTTTTTTATATATATTATATACACACATAAAAAAAATATATAGCTATTCTCTAATCTTTAAAGCAATAAAGAAGTAGATTTTACTTTTGTTCTAATCAAAAAGGTAAGAAAGTAATTTACAATTCATAAGACTTCAGCTTTTAAGAAATCATCACATTTAAAGAATTCAAAACGTGAAAAACAATACAGCCAGGATCACTAAAAAAATTTTATTAAAATGCTAGCCCCATGGGCTTAACATAAAAACGAAATACGTGTGCAGCATCAGCAACATCTTAGAGTGGTGGTTTTCCACAGAAGTATCTTGTGAGTTACAACCTGTTACAAATATGATGCAATAGAAACAAGCAGGATAGGAGACAAGAACAATTATTGCTTTATTTTAAATATTGACATGGCTTTACAGCCAGAAATTAGTAGATCTTCAAAGGAGTTCCAAGAAGACTACATGCTAGTCCTTGCCACTAATCTTTTATACTCAGTACAGCCCATCACGACCCCTGCTGTACCTACAGTCCCCCATAAACCATCAGTAAATAACATTCCTACAAAATCTCACCAGGATTTTTCCGCTTGTAGACTGTGGCACTTAAGTAAAGCATACTAGGGGTAGAAGCTTGCCTCATTTTCTGAATTGGAAGCTAATTAGGAGCAGTCATTAAGTATATTTATTAGTCTGATAACCTGCTGTTATCAAACCAAAATAAAAAAGATTAAAAATATATATGCACCAATTAAAAAGAAATAAGAAATAAGAAATAAGAAATCAGTTCTTGTACACTAAAATCAAAGAAAACACACTTGTTTTTTAGAAGACAAGAACTTGCTCTTATTGTCAGTGTTACTGGGGGAAGTGATTAGTAAGTACAAACATGAAAATCCGTATTATGTTTGTAGACACAACATAGCATCAAATTGCCAGAGTTTCAAATTATCACTTACCAAAATCTACTCTTGTTAGTATGCACTGCATTGGATGGTCAGTTGTATGCCTTGTCGTCGTTGCACCACTTTCATAACAAGTTGCACACAGATCGTAATCGTAGCAAATTAAACACTTGTATCGGCGACCTCGAAAATTTCCTTTTAAACATGCATCACAGCTGACACCTGTAAACAAATAAAATGGCTTTAAACAGCAATAAATGCACTTTTTTTTTTTTAGAAGAGGCAGATTCATTGCTATTGCCTCTCAACAACTAAAAGGAGCGAGCCATCTCTGACATGTGCAGCTGACACAAGACTCAATCTTTAAATGTATTTGTCTTTAAAAGACACTGCTGTCCCAAAATTAGAATCTGGAATTCTTGAAGTAAAATAAGGGCAAACTCAAGCATGTGAAATAATAATAAGTCGAGTTATAAAATCTCTTCAGACACACCTTCCTACAGGCACCTTTACCTGGTAGTATTGACTGGTATTTTGACTGTTCAGTTAGGAACCTTGGGCCAAACACTCTTAAAAGCTAAATAGTATAATGGCAGATCAAGAGTCAAAACCAACAAAAATAAGCAAACCAACCACTGACAAAAATCCACCAGCCTTTCAGCCTCTACTTTCACACTTCCTAATACTTTAATTCTGAAGAACACCATAACCATCGCTGACATTATATGTGGGGTAGAAGTTAGGACCTTTTTCCATTTTAAATAACAGAAAAAAGTTACGGTGTTTTTTGAAGTTAGGCTGCATCAGTTCTCTCCACCCTATTTCTTTCTCAAGCTCAGTTTTTGCACTGTAAGGTAGTCACACTGCACATGTCAGAGAAAGGTTTTATAGCTTCCAAAGGTTTTCATTTTTCTCCATGCGGTTTCAGTTCTCTCTTGGTTACTTAGTTAAGTGCAGGAGAAGTATCACCATCTTGTAATCTGTCAAGTCTAACACAAACTTCCTTGAACTGCAGCAGCAAATTAAGGGCCTCCACAAAAGAAACTAGTGTATATACAATTAAGGCAGGGTTTTGATCAACATCCTCTTTCAGCATCAGCTAAGACATGCTCTTCATAGCTTTGTACAAGCACAGACAAGTTAGGAGAAATAAAACTGTCTGAACGAAATAGTCACATTAGCCACCTCCCTCTTTTTTAAGCCTAACTGCCAGAGGACTGGTGTTAATTACAGATTTTTTTTTTTTTCATGTTTTTGTTGTGCTACTCCACTCTAGCATCTGAGCAGAAGCTTTACCACACAAACAGGAATACAACAGTACAGGAATGCAACAATAAGTAATTTCTTTTAAATCTCTGCTACTTGTTCAAACAATTGCATCATCACATTTAGATGAACAGCGGACAAAACTATTTCATCATTTTTCCTTTAGTTTCTTTACCTACAGGGATAACTTAAGGCATTATCTAATTGTTTCTACTGTCTAAGCACCGTGCTTATATGAATAACACGCCTATTTCTTTAGTTGCCTCACTCAGTATCTACTTTGAAAGCATCACTCTACATGGAATACTGTATTAGAAGAAAATATTTCAAGAATCTTTGTTAATAGCCTCAAAGAAATACATTTTGAGGATGGCCCTGTTACCACTCTGTTACCATCTTCAAAGTTAGGTTTTTTTGGTTTTTTTTTTTTATAAACCTTTCTCACTTGACATGCTTTTCTCATGTCAATACTTCTCCATATCATTCCAAACTGCAAGCCCCATACACTTTGTGGTATTAACTTTGGAGAAATTCAGCCATAAACATAAATCACATCATAATGTTTATAATTAAAACTTAAGAACATTTCCAGTGGAAATGTACAACAAGGTTGTCAAACAGATGAATTTTGCTTCTCATGATCGATTATCAGAAGTCTACCATCTGATTCGAAAAGAAAAACTAACATTAGTACAACACATTGCTACAGCTCGTGAAGTCAGACCAAGAGAATAACAAAGTTATAGAGACAGCATGCTTTCTACATCTCTCAAGGTTAATATTTTGCCATAACTACCACATCCTCCCCTTCAAGAAACAGGCTGACAGCAGGGGATGCACCACATTACTTTTATATCCTTTTGCGTAGCAGAGAATGAAAACCACAAAAGGCAAAATGATAATTAAAAGCCTCAGTTTGGGAGCTAACCCATGCTTAAATCCCCAGATCTCCCCTGAATCCAGTAGGACTTCTTTTCCAGAGGATACATCACTTATTCTTCCCTTTTAACAACAGTCTCACTAAAGTCAGGTCCGTTACAGTTTTTCCTGTTCTTCAAGCCTATTACTTGGCTGCCAAAACCTCACCCATCTATCCAGCCTAGGATCTGGAAAGTGAAATACCCAGGCAAATAATCTCGTCCCACCCTATTCTTTCTACTATGGTAAACAATTATTTCCTTATCAAAGCTTTGATTTTGTTTTTAAATTTTTCTCAACTTTAATCTTTACATCAACTGAAATTCCAAAAGTTCATTTCTCTTCCCAGCACAAGCCCCAGACACTCAAAGATAACACATCCCAGTCAGCAAAGCATGTCTTTCACCAGATGCCTATCCAACATTTCCCCACGTTTACCTTACATTTGCAAATACAGCAGCTATGTTATAGACTCAGTAATGTCAGATTAAACTGGATGCATCCATTTAAATCACAGGTTTTGAGAAGAAAACATGGTCTGGAGGGGTTCCCTTTGAAGCATGGAACAAAAGCAATCAACCAACCAAAAGAATAGCCTGAACAATGCGTGACAAGTGTTTACATAATCAGCATACATTTCTGACTTGCACAAAACACTACTGACTTTTAAAAGAATCTTTGAATGAAATCGTATTAACCCTGAATGAATTACTATTCAGCAAGAACTTCTAATTCACCTTTTGCAAAGCAACGATTTGGAATGATCAGAGTAAGAAATATTCATTAGTTACAGATTACATGTTCATTACCATAGATGATAGAGGTGGCTTCCTCAAATTTTCTTTGACTTTGTTATTGCTATACAAGTACCCATATATAAGTACCCATATATACTGCATAACATATATCACATCTAATTAAAACCTTGCTGCTCACTGACAAAGAATGTTGGGTTTTTTTAATGCAACACTGTTCCACTAGAGGGTAGCATTGTGCTAAAAGCCTAAGGAGTTTTGGTTCACTTTACATTTAATTATCAAACTTCAAGTTCTAAAAGTTTCTCCAGCAGTATTCGCTCGCAATATCAACAGTCTCAGTCTTTCCAACTTCACATTTTGAGTGAAATGAATCAGGAGATACCTAACAGTCCTATTAATAAAATATGTTTTACCCCTTCAATACAAAATTCTTACTACTTTTTTGTCAAGTCATCCCACATCTTCACCTAATCCAGGCCAATGACTTCAGGGAAGATACTATCACACAAGCATTTTATATGTAGCATGCTGAATAGTCATGGTTTTTTAAAAAACAAACCAAAAAAACAACAAACCAACCAACCCAAAACAAAGCCCCTCCCCAACACCTTTCATAGTTTGATCCTGATAGCCAAATATAATTTCCTCTTATGACATAGAATTGTTTTTGCTAGGAATTAACGAAAATGAAAGCAACTTCCCCTGGGTTTAACAGAGAGACCAAAGGGAGCACATAGTCTGATTTCATAATGGAGAGAACAACGCTGGACAGACATGTGGTTCAAATACTACATACATCAGGATTACTTTGTTTTTACAATTACAAGCAACGCTAAGGTGTAACATCAATTAGTGTCCTGAATGTTCCAAGCCACTGCTGCCTTGGATAGATGCCCCTCTGTAACAGAGCAAAGGGTTTTTTCCCCACTTGGCCTCCTCAGATACTATGGCAATCAGAATTATTATCCTGAAATTAATATTAAAAGCCCAATAAGCTGGCCCAGACAAAAATGACCTGAGAAACTAGAGAACTCAGCAGGTTTGGTTTTTTTTTTTTTTCTTACGAAGAACACAGGGTCAAAGATAAGCTATATAGAGACACTGGAATATGTTCCTGCCTCAAACAATGTGAGCTGCTAAACTTCATCAATACTTCAGATGTATCATTTAATTTTTAGAAATTTCAGAGAAAGTGCCATCCACTCATCACTAGAAAACATTTAAAACACATATGAAGCCTGCATCTGAAGTATTCAAACAGTGAAGACAGCAACTTTTAGCGCCTGAGAGCTTGTGCTATCCCTGAGAATTAAACTCCTTTGTTCTAACACCACATAGGAAGACATTAGGTTCATGGGTAGTTTCACCATTTAACATTCCCTGTCAGCAGCTGAATGCCCAAAAACCAACCTTCCAGACTGTAATTCAGGTACTGTTTTTAATTCATCAGTGATCAGACTGAGGACCACTGAATTTCTTTAATGTCCAACATAAATGCAAAATTAGTCTGTCAGTAATTTTTTCTTCAGGATGAAAATGCCAGTTACTTAAGTATTTCATCCTACTTCACCTGAACTACTGAAGGAGTTCACCCTTCTCAAAGACTGACAGAATTACATGCAAAAGTACCACTGAATTTCAAGAGGTCTGGACAAGCTTTAAGGTTTCTACTTTTCTAAAACCCTAACTTAAGCATCGAAGTGAAAAGTTAAAAGTCATGTTGCCTCTTTTGTGGTACAAAGGGTTGCAACCTGTGTACTGTGTTTTATTTTTATATTCTGAAGATCATAAGTACCACTACTTTTAATATGCATCTGACACATTTCAGTGTAAGATGTTCTTTCAGTGGGTTGGGTGTTTTGGGGGTCGTTTTTTTGGGTTTTTTGTGTTTGGGTTTTTTGTTTTGTTTTTAAATAAATTTTCTTGACATCAACGATCTCAGCTGTAGCAGCAACGCCAAGCCTTAAAGCAAGACATTCTACTTAAGTGGTTCAGTTGCTTCCAAGACCAAAGATAGGAAAATATATGCTATTTAATAACATTCAAAAAGAAATGCCAAATGTTTAATAGCCTCATCTCTTACTGCAGACTACTGCCTAATTTGAGAAGTTAATTTCTAGGAACAGAAACTTCTGTTGTTTCTATGAAAATTTCACCAAAATTTCATCCAAACCATAAATTTTTTTTCCTCATGTGTTTACTAAAGCAGATAGTGGAAACAAACATCAAGGATACCTAAAACACAGAGCATACTCCATTACCCTTGCAGCTCCAAGTGCT